GCACAATTTAGACGATATGCACGAGTTTGCTTGCAACTTTTGGTAATTAAAAAGAAGAAACCACCAGATATATTGGGGGCCTTGGACTACCTTTTGATTTTTACTATAATTGTATCATGTTTCAAAATCTCTATCTCTGTTAGAAATAGACCTCACAGTTGACCTTTGCCCCCCTTCTCTCTGATTGGCTGTTGGGGGGAGGAGTCAGAGTCCAGCTGCAGTGATCCAGATGTGATTGGTGTCCGTAGTTGATCTGAAGGATTAGGGGGCGGGGCTCTCGTAAATCTCACACTGGAGGTTACATGTGATGTAATGCAGCGCTCGGCTGTCTCTCATGCTCCGACACTTTGATCTTAATTAAGCCACATTGATCAGCTGACATCGACTGCCTTCACCACCGCACACTCAATAGAATGTGCCGGAAGTTATCAAGCGTGGAGCAGTGAGCTGATTACTTAACATTCAGATCAAATCATATCAGGAACACTTTTCAACTAAGAAGAGCCAGATCAGATCAGGGTCGAGCTCCAGATGTTGAAACCTTCAGAACGACACAGAACAGAACCGGACCGCTTGGTGGAAACAGGGCTTTTAATGTGTTACATTTGAACTGCAGTACCTGTTTTAAACACTAGTTGTTGTTGCTGCACTTAGAGTAAACTATTCCAACACTTACTCTGACCCTCTGACCCCCTGACCCCTGACCCTCTGACCCCTGACCCTCTGACCCCCTGACCCTCTGACCCCCTGACCCCCTGATCCTCTGATCCTCTGATCCTTTGATCCTCTGATCCTCTGACCCTCTGACCCTCTGACCCCCTGATCCTCTGATCCTTTGATCCTCTGATCCTCTGACCCTCTGACCCTCTGATCCTCTGATCCTCTGATCCTCTGACCCTCTGACCCTCTGACCCCCTGACCCCCTGACCCTCTGACCCTCTGATCCTCTGACCCTCTGATCCTCTGATCCTCTGACCCTCTGACCCTCTGACCCCCTGACCCTCTGATCCTCTGACCCTCTGATCCTCTGACCCTCTGACCCTCTGACCCCCTGACCCCCTGACCCTCTGATCCTCTGACCCCCTGACCCCCTGACCCTCTGACCCTCTGACCCTCTGACCCCCCTGTCTGTGAATCTCACATCGCTGCACAAAACGATCATTAAGTAACTCTGTTTACATCATATCAGCTAAGAAATGAAGAGTTTGATCCTCTTCCTCCTCCTCCACTTCCTCCTCCTCCTCCTCTTCCTGCTCTTCCTCCTCTTCCTCTTCCTCCTCCTCCTCCACTTCCTCCTCTTCTTCCTCTTCTCCTCCTCCTCCACTTCCTCCTCCTCCTCCTCTTCCTGCTCTTCCTCCTCTTCCTCTTCCTCCTCCTTCTCCACTTCCTCCTCTTCTTCCTCTTGCTCCTCCTCTTCCTCTTCCTACTCTTTCTCCTCCTCTTCCTCCTCTTCGTCCTCCTCCTCCTCCACTTCCTCCTCTTCCTCTTCCTCCACTTCCTCTTCCTCCTCCTCCACTTCCTCCTCTTCCTCCACTTCCTCCTCCCCTTCCTCCTCCTCCTCCTCCTCTTCCTCTTCCTCCACTTCCTCCTCCTCCTCCTCTTCCTCCACTTCCTCCTCCTCTTCCTCCTCCTCCTCTTCCTCTTCCTCCTCCTCTTCCTCCTCCTCCACTTCCTCCTCCCTTCCTCCTCCTCCTCCACTTCCTCTTCCTCCTCCTCCTCTTCCTCCACTTCCTCCTCCCCTTCCTCCTCCTCCTCCTCCTCTTCCTCTTCCTCCACTTCCTCCTCCTCCTCCTCTTCCTCCACTTCCTCCTCCTCTTCCTCCTCCTCCTCTTCCTCTTCCTCCTCCTCTTCCTCCTCCTCCACTTCCTCCTCCCCTTCCTCCTCCTCCTCCACTTCCACTTCCTCCTCCCCTTCCTCCTCCTCCTCCACTTCCTCTTCCTCCTCCTCTTCTTCCTCCCCTTCCTCCTCCTCCTCTTCCTCCTCCTCTTCCTCCTCCTCTTCTTCCTCCTCCTCTTTGTTTCACTGGAAACCTCCCCGCTGCCTCCTACGTCCACATTAACATGTGCTCCCCCTCCTCCTCCCCCCCTCCTCTCCCCCCCCTCCTCTCCCCCTCCTCCTCTCCCCCCCCCTCCTCAGTGAGTGGGCCAGGTGTCTCGGTCTTCTTGACGTGCGGCGGGGAGTTGATCCTGCGATGTGTTCCTCAGTGTCCTCTCTGCAGCTTCACACCTCTTTAAATCTTTTTAAACAATCAGCAGCTTGTTGGTCTGTGTACCTGCGGGCGCTGTCGTCAGGTGCCACGGTTTGATCCCGTGTGGGCTCACACGGTGCAGCGGTGCGACCTGTGAACAGACCGGTTCACGCACTTCCTGCTTTGTGTGTTCGCAGTTTGTTTCTCCCCCTCCGAGTGTCGTGACGGCTCGGCTCGCCTGCAGCCTCCTGATGCTTCTCCATCTGCCGCTCTGTTGGTCATGCAACATTTAGACGGAGCTGTTGTGTAGCAGACGCTGTGAACACTTAAAGTACCTGAAGACAATCCTACAATTCACTGAGCAGACGCTTTTCTCCAAAGAGACGTACATCAGAGAGGAAGAACAACACAAGCAAGGATCTAGAAAAAAGGGAACAATGTCAGTAAGAGCAAACGATCAGCTTTGAGTCTGATTGGACACACAGGTGCTGACAGGAAGTGACCAGAGGCAAAGCACAACATTGAGGGCAGTTCTTGAGAGCTCTAATCAGTATAGAAACCATCTTATAAGTCGTCGTTATCAAACAAAAACCATCGTCATTACCATCATCATCATCAATAATATGGAGACCATCATCATTAAGTTAGTAGGTATTCATGAAAGAGCTGGGTCTTTAGCTTTTTCTTAAAGGTGCAGAGGGAGTTTGGAAGTTCATTCCACCACTGGGGGGCGACAGGAGAAGACCAGAGGAAACGCTTTTTGTTTATTTATCTGGATGATGAAGATATCCTGAGTGTGATTAAATGACTCTCTTACAGAAATATTCAGCGGACAGCTGTGATACAATGTTTGATACCACGGCCTTTCAAACGACACGTCTTGTTGATGGTTGATTTAAAAAGTACAGACACTACATGTGTTTCATAAGACAGGAGCGTGGGAGCTGTCATACATCGTGCACAGGTTTGACCCTCAGTGACCCGACACACCTGCACAAAGTGAGGACTTTAAAGAAGGTCCCTGTGCTGTCGTCGACTTTTTAAACGACTCATTGCTTTTTGCTTTTTAAAGGTTTTTTTAATGATGGTAATGACGATGGTTTTTGTTTGATAACGACGACTTATAAGATGGTTTCTATACTGATTAGAGCTCTCAAGAACTGCCCTCAATGTTGTGCTTTGCCTCTGGTCACTTCCTGTCAGCACCTGTGTGTCCAATCAGACTCAAAGCTGATCGTTTGCTCTTACTCACATTGTTCCCTTTTTTCTAGATCCTTGCTTGTGTTGTTCTTACTCTCTGATGTACGTCGCTTTGGATAAAAGAGTCTGATAAGTGAATTGTAGAAAGGTGTTTTTTTGGGGGGCTCAGGATAGGACAGCTGAAGAGAGTCAGGAAATGTTGGGAAAGGGCCGGGTCGGAATCAAACCAACGGCCGCTACAACGAGGACAACAGCGTCTGTGCGTGGGGTGCACATAACCCCTCGGCTCTCTGTCCCCTTAATCGTGTTTGTGTTTACCCCGTTGTTTCATCTGTTGTATTTATTGTCCACTGGACTTTGACTTCTTAGTGTCTTCTCATGTTGTTTGCTGATTGGTGATTGGATGAATGTTTTACGGCCTCTCACGGGTAAAATTAAAGACAACCCTGAACCGTGAAAAATTACAGACAAACTCCTGCAAACACAAACGTGTCTTTGTGCAATTTAGACAGTGTGCACGAGTTTGCCTGTAATTTTTATCTATTAAAAAAAAAGAAATAACCCAATATCAGGTGACAAGGACGTCTATATTTCAGAGATGCACTGATCAGGAAAATCTGCACCAATGCTGATGTTTGAAACAACAATTTCAATAACAATTGCCATTTCAGTCACTGGTGTTTGTTTCCTGAGTTCTTCTGGTGACTCCCACAGTGCCAACGTTTCCTCTCGTGTCTGACGATGAAAACGGGTCAGAGTTTGTTCTTCTGCCCGAGACGACACCTCCTCTGTGAATCAGCAGTCAGGTGTTTAGATGTCAACATTAAAGTGATTTGGCACGACAGATCAAGAACACTACTACTGACAGCGGTTCATGCAGAGGTGCTACTTGTCAACAGGGAAGGCAGGCGACTGTGTGTCCTCCCCCCCCCGGGGGCTCAAACAAACTTTAAACCAAAGCAGAGGCCCAAAATGTTCCAAAATTTCCAACGACAGTAGGAGACCTCCCTAAGGGGGCCCCATCTGGGAGCACTCACTATCGTTGCTCTGCTGAGTGTTGCGTGCATGATTGCTGTGAAAACCAAAGTTCATCAGTGAAAGTCAACAAAGAAACAAGAAGAAGGATCGTCTACCGGAGAGAGAAAAGAAACGGCAAGAAAGAAGATTTACACCGAACTTCCAGCAGATACGTGTGCGTTGTGTTTCGGCTGCATTCAGTCCATACATCCATCCGTCCAGTCCCATCCCAGCTCCTCCCCCTCATGTCTGACTCCATGTTTGAGATTTCAGGCTGCTATAGATGTTTTAGCACCTCTGTTGTTAGCACTGGATGATGAGGAGAGTCATACTGGGAGTGTTCCTCCCTCACTGAGTGTAATCTCCTCTTAATCTGTTGGCCTCTGCTCCTGAACCTAATCCGCCCAGTAATTAAATCAGTAATTAAAGCAGGAGAGTCATGGTGGATACTTCACTGCACACACAGCTCGGGCTTCAAACAGCTGGGATGAGCGACCGGATCGTCTGCAGGGAAGTTGTCAACATAAAATTAAAGTCTCAAAAATGACCTGAACCGCCATGTTGACGGGAGAGTTCCTACTCTGAAGCAGGAGCTATGAAGGTTCCTCTAAATTCCTCGACGCTGAAGAACATCTGGCAAAGTGAGGAATGGGATGAAGTCGAGTGATGCACACTGTCCCTCTGCAAACCAATAAATCAAACATGTAGGTACATCTAACACCTTGAAGCTGTGATGATTCACACATCGACACAAACAGTGTTTCAAGTGTGAGATGTAAGAAGAGAAAATCCTTTACATGCAGCGCTCGGGTTAATAAATACACAGAAACATTAACGCCGTCTAGTGTTTCCTAAAATACCTCCTGAACTCAGAGACTCTGACTGTGGGCTGATTCACACGACGCAGAGGAGAATGTCTGCACAGAGCGGACAAAAGAAGTGAGAGAGAGAAACACGACGAAGGAAAGTGGAGAGAAGAAAAAATGTCCGACACAGTTTCCCCCGAAACGACAGGAAACACAAACGGTCACAACCCCCCGAAACTCTCGCCCTTAAAAAGCCTGTTTAATCTCTTTCTAGAGACGGATAATTTATGGATGGATGGATCCTGTCAGGGCGGCAGAGCGAGTAGATGTGATCACGTATTGATTATTTGGACAAATCGACAAAATGACAGTTTGAGGGAGACCCCAATGAGGGACGAAGGTTTTCACTTTTATTCAGTATGTGTTCTTCTTCTGTCTCCGCTCCTTCGGTCCGGCGTCCTCTGCAGCAAGGCTTCTATTTCTGCAGGATGTCAGAGCATGGAGCATCGATGAACCACAGAGCAGATGAAGCGAGACAGGAAGTCAGACACTGAAACATCTGGTTTATGTGTGTGTTTTTAATGGTTTTATATAGAGCTGGGTTTTGTCCACAACCTCATGATTCGATTCGATATTGATCAATATGCTTCAATATCGATTCAATATTACACATAGATGAGAGAAATACCCAGATAACTCATCACAGAACCTTTTTAGATTTGTTAAATAATTGTGTTTGTTTTTGGTTAAAACAAACCGACTCAAAATGTATTTTATCGTTGCATTATTCTTTAATAAACAAAGAATAAAACATGAAAGTACAGGATGATCTAAAGTGAAAGATTGTGCCTGACCTGAATTCACAGCACCCACAGCGCCCCCTAGTGGAGAGGGGTGTCATTACAACGGGGGAAAAAAAATCAATGGCAGGATTTCCCTGAATCGATTTTAAATTGGGAAAATAATAATTGCAATGCATTGATGAATCGATTTTTTTAGCCAGCCCTAGTTTTATACCACGTACATTGTTATTATCTCGCGCTGTTACGATTGAATCTGTAAAATAACGGCTGGAAATCCTTCTTCTCGGCACGCACCGATGCGAACACTCAATGCACAGGGTGGAAGATCTGGGTTAGGCTCAAGTCCAGGTCATGTGACTCGAGTCCACACCTCTGTTTTCTACCCGCATGAGCAATGAGTCGAGATCAGGTGCCATCACACAACGAGTCTGTGCAACCCTTAGCACCGCAACACAACATGTTCCTGTAACACGTGTACAACTTGACAACGTTCCTGCTTTTCATCTTGATTCATTTAAACAGAACGATGATGCTAACAAGCGTCTCCTGCAGCAGGTCGGCTGTTAGAGACTTAAAGCGCCCTGGTTTAGTGAACAGAGAGAATCTGAGGACGTGATGGTCTGTCACTTCGTCTCGTTATGTAACACTCGACTCACTCACCTGTCAACATGAACGCCTCTCCTCTGAACGAGACACAACAGATGAATAAAACTGTGACTCATCAGCCTCTCTTCATCTGACGTCTGAAGCGAGCTGAGGCTTTTATTTTGGTAGATTTTCTCTGGTTTGGATCCATTTTAATAAAGCTGTAACGTGGTTGGAGTGGCTGCTCGAAGTGTTGCACATCAGAGTAATGACGGTGAAGTTTTTTATTTTTAAAGGCTTTCTGTAAAAATCTCCTGCGCCTGTCAGTCTGCGTTCAGGGCAGCAATCTCCTGCGCCTGTCAGTCCGTGTTCAGGGCAGCAATCTCTTGCGCCTATCAGTCCGTGTTCAGGGCAGCAATCTCCTGCGCCTGTCAGTCCGTGTTCAGGGCAGCAATCTCTTGCGCCTATCAGTCCGTGTTCAGGGCAGCAATCTCTTGCGCCTGTCAGTCCGTGTTCAGGGCAGCAATCTCTTGCGCCTATCAGTCCGTGTTCAGGGCAGCAATCTCTTGCGCCTATCAGTCCGTGTTCAGGGCAGCAATCTCTTGCGCCTGTCAGTCCACGTTCAGGGCAGCAATCTCCATAGTCTGACCGTCTTCTCCTGTTTTGTGTTTTACAGAAGTACAGGCACCACGATGAGGACTCGTCCCCGCAGGAACAGAGCTCCCCCCAGCTGACGGAGGAGGCCGGGGGGGCGGAGCTTGTCCAGGTAGCAGAGAAGAACCTGTCCCAGATCGAGAATGTGCACGGATACGTCACCCACGCTCACATTTCACCCATGAAGGTAAGGGATGCCATCGCCTTCTCTTTCCTCTCTGTCGTCTTTTTGTTCATTAAAAACTTGACTGACAAGGACGTTAAAGCTGCTTCAGTCTGGATTCAGATTTAAGTGAATTACTACACACACACACACACACACACACACTCGTCTGTGTGTCCTTCATGTGGTTCACTAAACACTGAAGCTGCTCCGAGGCTCACACCTGTACCTGCTCGTCATACCTGTCCGCTGTCATTAAACCATCTCACACACACACACACACATTTACACACCGACTGGCGATGGTTTTTTTTTGCATCACATATGCTGGAAACATAAACATGAGTGTTTATAACACAATATTAACATAATACTTTAAAACAGACAGATTGGCAGGTTTGTTGGAGCTTGAAAATGCACTCGCTTTGAATCTAAACATTTAAAAAAATATATTTTTTAACGTGGTTTTTAAAAGATTTTATCCCCTGGAGACATTTAAAAAAATAACGTCCTTGCCTGATGTGAGCGAAGATTAAGAGTAGTTTCCAGCCTGGCAGAAAAAGGAAAAAGCTGGAAAATAATACTCTAGCAGCTGTTTTGAGTTCATTAACCCGACTCGTAGAGGACCTGAGCTCTGATGTTTGTGTGGACTGATGTGCTCAGGCTGCACTCAGCTGGAGCTCTACCGCCACCGTGTGGTGTGGAGATGTAAGTGACGCCGCAGGAGAAGCTTCACAGAGTCTGTTGTTATTGTCAATATGATGATGCTCCTCTGAAAGTTCACAGCGTACAACGTGGTTAAAATTACATTACACTCTTTAAGAGACAGTTCTAGTGGAAAAAAACAGTGACAGGCACCATGCAGAGAAAATAATGTTTAAAAATGTGTCAGACCTCTAACAGCTGTTTTTTTATTAGAAACTTAAAGGAGAAGTATGTAACTCTGACACCTAGTGTTTAAAATGGGTACTGCAGTCCAAATTCTAAACATTGACCATGCTCACTCAGGTCACCATGTGGTGGACTCTGAAGCTTCAGTGTTTATCCAGCTCTGCATGGGTCTGTAAACCTTTCTGTGTTCTAACCTCTCTCCATTTTTCAAAAGCATCTCCAATATTGATCCTAGTTTGAGCACGTTTCTGCTCGTGGAGCTTATTAGAAACATGCAGAGGCTTTTTAGGTCGGGTACAATCACTTCTATCTGAACCACTTCTCTTGACCGCTTCCATCACTGCAACACCTGTTGACCTGATAACTGCTCTCATATCTGGCAAACTGAGGGGCGTCCAAAATGGCCGTGTGGGGGGGGGTGTTTTAAAACCGCCTACCTTCTCCAAACAAATCCAGAGCATTCAGGACACAAAAATGATTCAAACATTGTTGTGTATTTTGTGAGTGGGTCACACTATGATTGGTCTTAATGTACCTGTGCTGCTTCTTGTCTTATCTTCAGCGGACGTGTCAGACGTCTCAGGTCTTGTCCTCGTGTTGTGTGTCGGCTTCCTGCTTCTCCTCCTGAGGCTCATTTTCAGTCATGTGTCTGTGCGCCGTTTGGACATGCAAACGAGGTGTTGTGGACGTTTTAAAGTTTTTGTGACTGTTCAGCAGATTAGAAACTGACGCTGATGTTTGGGCGCCTGATTTTTAGGTCACACTTTCAAAATAAAAATACAGTACTTCTAAAGGGACAAAACACTTGAACAAGACTCTGTTGTTAGTCTAGAATCTACTTTGTATGGAAGCAGAAAAGGGCCACATGTGAAAAATTAATTAAAGTGAAAGGACACCATTTTGATTAAATGTCAGAATTCTAATCTGTAATTTAGACTATTACATTATTATTTTGTTAATTTAGGATTTTTTATTTTACTTTTGAATTCAACGTCACTTTTCTGATTCTCAAAAACTTCAATTCTGAATTTGCTGAATTTGGAATTTAATCTCTGATATTTTATTTATTTATTTTATTTTTAAATCTAATTTTAGATGTTTTTCTTTTCTTTTTTTGTTGTAAAATTTTAATTTTGGTTGACTTTAATTTTGAAGTCTGAATCGTGATTTAACATTCGGTTTCTAAAACTTTTGTATACGATTATTATTATACGATTTGGTTTTGTCTGGTGTCAATTTTTAAACTTAATCTCTGATTTGGATTTTTCTGGAATTTGTTATGAATATTTTATTTTACTACATTTTTATTTATTTATTATATAAATATATATTTTTTAATTAAAGTCTGATTCCTGACTTAAGCTTTGTTTTTTTAAGACTTTTTCTTTTTTCTTTTTTCTGTTAAATAAAGTTTTTCACATTGGGCTTTAAATGGTTTATTTTGAAATCACAAATCAAAATTCTCCGATTTTGAATTTTTTCATCCATAAATATTTTTTCCCCACTTAGCTTTTATTATTTTCTGAGAAGTTAATTGTCAGATTAGTTACTTAACCTCTTGTCACGTCAAGTCTTTTTTTACATCTTGCTTTGACTCTGAAGTCAAATTTTAAACTTCTTCACAAAACTTTAGTCTTTTTGCAATATTTTAAAACATTTATGTCTCTAAAAACACTGTCCAATCAGTGGATTAACTCCAGATGAATAAAAAGTTCTTAGAATATTTGTCTCTGGATCTGAAGTTTTTATCAGATTCAACTTTAAAACTCTGAGACCATCGCTACATTTTTCTCATGTGGTCCTTGCCGTCTGTCGTAGTTGTGTCTTTCCTCACCCTCTTTCTGATTCTTTGTCTCTCAGGATGAATTATCTCTCTCTGCTGCTTTGCCTTTGCTGTATTTTGACCTCTGCGAGCCTCCATCTTCCCTCCCTGTATTCTGTAGGTAGCATCTCTGGAGTGCATCTATGACGGACAGCACCTCCCGGAGCTCCCCTCCCCCACGTCCTCCACCCTCTACCCCCACGGAGAAGACAGCCCCCTCCCCTCCTGCTCCTCCAACCCCTACCCCCCAATCCAGGTAAACAAACCCTTCCCACCACCCTATCCTACCTGTTGTCATAGTAACCTCAAACTTCACTATCCCCTCACTTCTGCTGTTTACATCTCACAATATTTCCATCTTCATTTTGAGACTCTAACCCTCTAGTCCACCTTAAAAACACGCTGCTGGGGGTGCTGGTGCTGCTGGTGCTGTTGGTGCTGCTGTTTGTGGTGGTGCTGGTGGTTGTTTTATTTGATGTCGGGACTTTAAGGCTTCATCGGGGATCAAAGGACAACAAAGAAATACTTTGAGATTGTGCAGATGGATGTTAGCTCTTATGTGGTTAGCTGGGGTTAGCCTAGCATAAAGGAATAAAGAACAGGCTACTGTTGATGGACTCGGTCCAAAGTTTGAAAGCTTGTGTTTCTTTTCATCTCTATTTACAGATTCTACATAAAAATATAGAATCTGTACACATTGGACCTGACTTTGGTATGTGAAGCGTTGTTTCCATTTGGAGTCAGTCATGTATCAGCAGTGTATGCAGGAAAAACTGTCTGTCTGGTAAATAGTATAAGGACTTGAGCTTTTATTGCGCTGTTTTAGTCTTCTGATGACTCGAAGCACCTTTACCCTGCAGGTCACACCTACACATTCACACACTGATGGTAGAAGTTGCTGTGTAAAGATACCATCAGAGGCAACTAATCCCATTCATACACTTACATACTGCACCGCTGCCGGCGAAGCAGCAGGTGCAGCTTGAGGCTAGGTGTCTTGCCCAGGGACACATCGGACAAGTTGCTGCAACAGCTGGGGATCTACCTTCCGGTTGAGAAACGACCAAAACTACCAACTGAGCCACAGCCGATCAAACATTCCTTTGAATGCAAAAGCAGAAACACAATCCGCCGTTATGAAATCCCGGCTCCTTGAATGTGATAAAGATTTATGTATCTCCATAAACAGATAACTGCATGAAAGTGCTAGGGATTTTATATCAATATATATCTTTTAAACGCTATAAAGAGTTGGGTGTCGTCTGCATAGCGATTCAAATCAACACCTTCCTGCAGGTCTAGGACCCTACGTTATACATAATAGTCAAAAACATTCTTGTGTTTAGAGGTCAAGGTAGTGGTTTTTAGTTCTTTATTTAGGAATAATATGAAAAGATCCTGATGAGTTTGAAGTCTGTTAATCAATAGATGTCAGAGATGCATCTTTCAAAGGAGTGGTCTCAAGTTTTAAGGATTAACATTTATATAGAATCAGGTGTCATCTGCATAGCGATGAACATTATGCAAACATAAATGTCAAAAGGTATTGGGCCTGGGACAGAGCCTTGTGGCACTCCTTATGAGACATTTGATGTTGGTAATGAGAAGTTTAATCGCTGATTTGTTTTCTTGAACGTGTTTAGATTTCCTGGCTTCCTTGAATGCATCAGAAATAATCAATTTGACCTCCGTTCCATTTCTCCCTCTTGAGGACAGACTTTTTACAAATATGCATCATGATGTTGTTAATTTAGCAAACTTAAGACCTGTGAAATTAGTTCCTCTTTTCGGGTTCATACCGCTGAAGTAATCCAGAGTGACGCCTCTGTGTAACTTACTATTCACAGTTAAACTGAGACCCACCACAAACAGATGAATGGGCGCTCCTTTGAGGGATGTAATGAACCAAGAAATGACAAATAGTCGCTTCTTAAGTTTCAGTAAACAATGAGGTATACAGAAAAAGGAAGTCTTGCTCACGACCATGGAGATACGGACAAGTCAGTCATCATTCCCAGAGGCATATGGTCAGATGATAGCCAATGGGTCCCCAGGTTGAAGTATTTATACATTGATCACATTAAAAGTCTGACTGGTTTAATTGGTAGTTGTCACATCCGACTTTTTGATCCCAGAACTGGACCGTCACACCTTCAGTTCACCTGTACCATCACCTGCTCTGCATGGCTGTGAGTATTCTGTTCACAGTGACACTGATTGGTGGAGAACTCTCCACATCCTACCCCCTCATTGTTTCCTCCCGTTTGATCTGCTACAGCCACACGTCCCCGTCCTCTGACGTCAGCCAGCACTTATCTCCAACACCTCTGCCGCGATAACGCAGTGAATGAATCGTCACATCCCACAAAGACACTGAAGGCTGGGAGGACGTACTGTACACTCCTTCTTTTTTTTTTAATCATTCCTTTCATTTCTTCATCTCTCTTCCTCGGCCTCTCGCTCTCCTCAGCAGCACCATGGCAACACAGGAGATGAATGCCGACAAAGAAAATCCTGACGGCAGGAAAATGGAGGAGGTGGTGGTGGAGGAGGAGGGGGTTGAACCTGTGGAGAAGGACAAGGGCAGATTTAGTGAGGCTTTCTGTAACAGGGTCTGATTGTAAAATGCAAAACAGCCGGCCTCCAATAAGATTTACAGCAGCTCTGGTGTATATTTATCACCAGGACAAAAGGACTCAGAGGCCATGAAATGACTTGTCACTAATGCTTCCTCTCCATCGTCTCATCTCTGCTACACTTCATTCCCAGCTGCAGCAAAGGATGCTGGGAACACAAGCCAGCTCTATTTATAGCTTCCAGCCAGTCCTGGAATTTCAGGGAAATCATGAAATTTCAGCGGTGCATTTCCAGGCAGAGGAAGTTTGTAACATCAGGAAAACTTATGAAGAGCAGAATGTCATCTTTTGAACAGTTTTCAGACTGATGAGACAACACTGAAATCATTTTCTCAAATGAGAAGTTCTGAGTCTGAGAATCATAAACTATGAGGCCAAGTATTTCCCTTTGGGTGAGAAAACCCTCATCTTATATCCTGTTATTTGTATTTGTATTTTTAAGAAGGTTTATACCCTCACAAATCTCACATTTCTGTATCTTATACACACAAAGACATCAAACTTCCTCAAAGCTTGACAGATAATTCTGTCTCAAGTTTGTTTCTGCTGTGAAAAGAACAGGACACGTTTTTAAATCAGGTTTAATCCCCAAGTAAACACTTGTGCTTCTCTTTCTTGTTTTTTGAACTGCAATATAAGAAGATAGGGTTGTGTGTTAGGTTATTCATGTTCAACACTTAGGTACTCTTTCATAAAAATAAAAAAATGATTATAATCGCTGTTAAGTACTGAAACTGAAAAACTGCGACAAATTGCAGGCTGTCATAATTGCACAAAAACATTGGCAATTTTCAATACTGAAACCTTTCCAAAGTTTTTGTGCAACTAAGAAAATGTGCAGAAGCTTGCCTGTTATTTGTGTCAGTTGAAAACTATAAATTGTCTGATATCTGTTGCATAGACCTTCTATTTATTCACTAGTGATAAGCTTTATGCACTGTTTATTGTTTATTTGGGACCGATGAATGCATCCTGATTGGTTTGAAGTGTGTGCATTACTTGTCAGATTTGGTTTTTTAAAGTAATGGTAAATGGACATGAGCTTGTATGGCGCTTTTCTAGTCTACTGACTCCTCAAAGCGCTTTAACACTGCAGGTCACACCTACACATTCACACCCTGATGGTAGAGGCTGCTGAGTAAAGAGTCCATCAGTATTAACTCATCCATTCATATGCTGCCGACAAAGCTGGGGGAGGAACTTGGGGTTAAGGGTCTTGCCCAAGGACACATCTGACATGTAGCTGCAAGAGCTGGGGAAGAGTTTGATGTCATCTGCAAAGAGATAAACATCAACGCCTTGCTGTAGGTTTAGGACCCTACAGTTTATCAATAGATGTCAGAAATTCAGTTTTTAAAGCAGTGTAGGTCTAGGATTAACATCTATATAGATTCAGGTGTCATCTGCATAGCGATGAACATCAACAGTAATTGTGTTTAGCATTAACATCTATATAGATTCAGTTGTCATCTGCATAATGATTAACATCAGCAGTGTAGGTGTTTAGGGTTTAACATCTATATAGATTCAGGTGTCATCTGCATAGTGATGAACATCAACAGTAAAGGTGTTTAGAGTTTAACATCTATATAGATTCAGGTGTCATCTGCATAGCGATGAACATCAACAGTAATTGTGTTTAGCATTAACATCTATATAGATTCAGTTGTCATCTGCATAATGATTAACATCAGCAGTGTAGGTGTTTAGGGTTTAACATCTATATAGATTCAGGTGTCATCTGCATAGTGATGAACATCAACAGTAAAGGTGTTTAGGGTTTAACATGTATATAGATTCAGGTGTCATCTGCATAGTGATGAACATCAACAGTAAAGGTGTTTAGGGTTTAACATCTATATAGATTCAGGTGTCATCTGCATAGTGATGAACATCAACAGTGTAGGTGTTTAGGATTAACATCTATATAGATTCAGATGTCATCTGCATAGCGATGAACACAAGCTTCTCACACGCTTGTCGCCACGTTACAAACATAACTGTCAAAAGGTATTGGCCCCAGGACAGAGCCTTGTGGCACACCAAATGAGAAGTTAATGTTCGGTAATGAGAAGCCGTAGCCTCAAGTCATTTTTGCTTTTGGCAATGCATAGTTGCCCTTCACTTTCCTGACCGCACTTTGTTTTTTCTTGGAGGACCTTATAAGATCACATTGTTATACCACTACTGAAAACAAAAAAAAATTAGAATATTAAAAAACTTCTGATACGCCAGATCTTTTAAAGTAAAGGCTGTTGAGAGAGAGAGAACACTGACTGAACTGTTAAAGTACATTGGCAACACATGTGTGCAGAAGTTTCCCTGCATCTTTTGGTAATTAAAAACAAGAAGTTACAAATACTGGGTGCCTAGGACTTCAATTTTTTGTTTCTCTGGTGTCCAAAGAGGTATCAACATTCTCGTTTTGTGACAACCCTTAGTTGTCCGTCTCTCTGAATCCATAAGAATACAGACAGATTTTTCACCTTGAGCCGATTTAGACGGAGTAACAGAGCTGTCTTTACAAACAGTAAGGGTCTAGATGAACTCCCTCACTATATTGAACCAGCTGTCAGTCGATCCCCGACATCCCCTCTCACCCTACTGTCCGTCACCGAGTGATAAGTCAGCATTTTTCAGGTGTGAGATTTCCCCCGCTGACTCATGTTTGGAGAGGGACTCAAAATCTGAGGACTGAAGTAGGACAGAGGTCAGCCGGAATAAACCCGGCGGACTGAGAACCCAGGAGGAGGAGGAGGAGGAGGAGGAGGAGGATCTGCGTGAGATTTCCAGACTGCAGAGAGGAGAGAGA